TAAACGCTTTAGTAAATTAGTTAAGGAAGCATTCAAAGATGATCCACGTTTCCTAACAGCCAGGGATAAAGTAAGTCTCAAAAGGATTTATCCTTTATTCCAAATCATTCACTGTAAAAAATATATATTTATAAATATTATTTTAAAAAGTTTTTAGATTTTTGGGATAAAATATTATTGCAATCTAATTATATAAACTATTTACATACTTTATAATATACGTTACTGTTCAAAAGGTGGGGGCAGTACGTTTTTTTTTTTAAGTTGTTTTTTAATTAAACATGGATGCTTTAAATTGATTAAAACTAACAGTTTTAATCGCAATCAATGCACTTATAAATTTACAAAAGATTTCCATTTTAAATAAATGCTGTTCTTTTGAACTTTCCATTAATCAAAGAATCCTTCAAATATATTAAATGTTTTCAACACTGGCAATAACAAATGACTCTTTAGCACCAAATCAGCATATCTCTGAATAAGTTCTGAAGGATCTTATGACACTGAAAACTGGAGTAATGGCTGCTGAAATTTCAGCTTTGCCATCACAGGAATGAATTACATTATAAAACATATTAAAATAGATAAAAGTTATTTATTTTAATAATATTTCACAGTATTACAGTATAGGCAATATACTGTAAATGCACCCTTGGTAAACACCTTAAAAAATGAAAAAAAATCTTACTAACCCAAAACTTTTTAACAATAATGTACCGTTAAAGTGGAGAAGTGGTTTCCATTTTTCCATTCTTATTTTATTATTTTGTATTCGTGTTTACGTAGGCATACAAAGCAGTAGTGAATGACACCACAATATTTAAACTAGAGCTCCCTCTAAAACAGAAAGGGTAAGACGTCTTAATATATACATATATATCTTCTGAAAACTAGTTTTTCTATCTGTCGTTCTAAGAATATATTTTAAATACTGTTTGGTTTGCATTATTTGTCCTTTGTTTGCAGTGTGGGTCTGAAAACACAACCAGAGTCAAAATGTCCAGAGCTGCTGGCCAACTACTGTGATATGCTCCTTAGAAAGACCCCACTGAGCAAGAAACTCACCTCAGAGGAAATAGAGGCCAAGCTGAAGGAAGTGGTGAGTGAGTGGGTGGGTGGAGTGACCAATAAATATTTGTTTTTTATTGTGGCAGTATTTTCGCAAATGTTACTCACACCTCTGTTTGCAATTGTCAAATCAGATGCAATGTTTTAATTATTTCTTTTTATGTACTGATTACAGCTTTTGGTTCTAAAGTATGTTCAGAACAAAGATGTCTTCATGAGGTACCACAAAGCGCACTTGACCCGCAGGCTAATTCTTGACATTTCTGCAGACAGTGAGATTGAAGAGAACATGGTGGAGTGGCTCAGGGTAAGAGGGCTTGAAAGCACGCTTATGATGGATGAAAGACTTTTTAGTGAATCTCTTTAAGTGACTTTTGTGTGTGTACAGGAGGTTGGTATGCCAGCAGATTACGTGAACAAGCTCGCCAGAATGTTCCAGGACATCAAAGTATCTGAAGATTTAAATCAATCCTTTAAAGAAATGCACAAACACAACAAACTTGCATTACCAGGTCAGATATGCCACTTATGAACTGATGCTTCTGAACTATTCTATTGTAACTTTGAACTAATTATTATTTATGTCTCGACACTACAGCTGACTCAGTCAATATAAAGATCTTGAATGCAGGAGCATGGTCTCGGAGTTCAGAGAAAGTGTTCGTATCCCTGCCCACCGAACTAGAAGATCTCATTCCTGAAGTTGAGGAGTTTTACAAGAAAAATCACAGTGGCAGAAAATTACACTGGCACCATTTGATGTCCAATGGCATTGTGAGTAACAGCTTCAGCCCTTTGTATAACAGCATGCTCTACTTCCTTGGAAAATAGGGGAGACCCAAAACCAGCCTCTTCCCATTGAGACTAATTTGTGTGATTTATACTGTCGCCAGTAAAAAGCACTTAACTTTTGATGCTCGCGAGCTCTACTACTGTGAATTGTGTTGATGCAAACATTTATTTATTCTCTTAAATGTCAGTATTATTGCTACACTGGAGATTCTGCCTCGACTTTGACATTTTATAGGGGTTTGTTGTGTCAAGGGAACAGATCAAGATTGGTTTCATCTCTTCTGTCGCTAGATCACATTCAAGAATGAAGTTGGGCAGTATGATTTAGAAGTCACGACATTCCAGTTAGCTGTGCTGTTTGCCTGGAACCAAAGGCCCAGAGAGAGGATCAGCTTTGAGAATCTGAAACTGGCCACGGAGCTTCCAGACGCTGAGCTGCGCCGGACTCTCTGGGTAACAGAGTCTTTATTTTGTTGACATTTCCACTACTGTGTTTAAATGGGAAGGACATGATCATGTGGAATGCGAATGAAAGGATCTCATGTGACATTGACTTTACTAAATCCTTCCTAACTCTTTGTTTTTGTTTGTTTTAAACGTGTAGTCTCTTGTAGCTTTCCCCAAACTAAAGCGTCAAGTGCTGTCGTACGAACCTGTGGTGGGCTCTCCTAAAGACTTTGCAGAAGGCACTGTATTTTACATCAATCAAGAGTTTTCTTTAATGTAAGCACAATCATCACACACTGGCTGCATTTGACGAAGAATGATGAATAATTTAAATAATACTTGTGTTAATAAATCATACGCATATAAATCATAAGTCATGTGCATATTTTCATCACTTTCCCTGCACTACCGTTCAAAAGTTTGGGGTTGGAAAGATTTTTACAATTACTCACCAAGGATATTTTAGTTTGTTAAAAATATAGTAAATGTGAAATATTTTTACAATTTAATATAATTTTTTTCTACTTCAGTATCTTCTGTCATGTGATAATGATCAGAAATCATTCCATAATGCTGATTTTGTGCTTAAGAAACATTTCTATTTATGACATTCCTAATGTTTTTGGAATGTTTTGTGTATTGCTGTCACTTTGATCAATTGAATGCATCTTAAATATGCAATGCAAAATAATTATTCGTTTCTTTAAAAAATCTTATTAAACCCAAACTTTTGAGTAATTAAATCTGTATGCACATACAATTATCTGTAAGTACATACTACGTATCATAATACATATCTAAGTACATACATTGCTGGACTATTAGGTTATATTATTAATTATTGCATGTTTTAACAGACCACAGTTCAATTAAATGATCTCTTCTGCACAGAAAAAACTCAAAGGTCCAAAAAAGAGGGAAGATCAATTTGATTGGTCGATTACAACTCACCACAGAGAGAATGCGTGAAGAAGAAAATGAGGGCATAGTGCAACTTAGGATATTACGCACACAGGTAATGAAATCACATTCACATGATCTTAATGATTGAAATATGTGTTTGTGTATTTATATATATCCACATTTTTGATCAATGCTCGGGTAATCAAACTATAAATTAATTCAAACAGAAGTTTGAATTAGTAGTGATTTCATGAGGTGCATCCTGGGATGCGTTTCAAACAGTGTTGAAGGAGTTTCCATGTAAGCTGGGAACTTGGCTGCTTTTCCATCACCATCTGGTCCAACTCATCCATTAATTTTTTTTTCTATGAAAGTGTTAGTTTTTTAAAGACATTCATTTGCAGGCATTTTAAATACAGTAACATTTGTCTACTAAACAAAATTCAAACATTTAAGCATAAACCTTTATATCAAAACTATGAGAAACATTTCAGACCAAACATTTCTCTGATACGCTGACGTAAACATCAGCTGTCACTAAGCTTTTCTTGTTCACTCTGTACAGGAAGCTATCATTCAGATCATGAAGATGAGGAAGAGGATCAGCAACGCCCAGCTTCAGACGGAGCTGGTGGAGATCCTAAAGAACATGTTTCTGCCCCAGAAAAAGATGATCAAAGAGCAGATCGAGTGGCTGATAGAACAAAAATACATCAAACGGGACGAGACAGACATCAACACATTTATCTACATGGCATAGCCGACCACGCCCAGTGCACTCTGGGACTTTTTTTTTTTGGAGGATTCCATATCTGATTTCAGCCCATTGCCCAGCCTGGCCTGCTGGGTGATTGACTAGATTTATCTCAAGACACATCACGCTGAGAAATTGCTGACAAATGCCCAGTGCACTCTGGGACGTTTTTTTTTTTGGAGGATTCCATATCTGATTTCAGCCCATTGCCCAGCCTGGCCTGCTGGGGGATTGACTAGATTTATCTCAAGACACATCACGCTGAGAAATTGCTGACAAATCCCTGCCTTACTTCACAAATCTATGAAATTAATAAAACAAACTTTGGAAGAAATAGAGGAGTAAAGTGAGCAGAATCTGTGTGGCTAATTTATATGCATCTTGTGCAATCTTCTAATTACGTTTCACCACCTTCGACGTCAACGCAGCAGGTGAAAATATTGCTTTACGTCCTGAAAAAGCCATCCAGCTGTTCATTTTGAGTTCACCGCTGGCTTATCAAATTAACCTAGCTCTAAACATCTAATAGTAAACAATACATGCCTTATACTGTAAAGTTCAGGCCAGTGGTGTTGTTAGACATCAAATTATCCTCATGATTCACAGCATTGTATGTTATTGCACAGAATTGCAGGCCTCAGGCGTTTTTTTCTCCTCAGTTGTTTTACCCATCAGCTCACAGTCTCTGCTTAGTGTGTCCCTGTTTGTCTCCCTAGTGGCAAGTTAGCAATGTACACTGCCGCTGTCCATGGTGCTGATGAGATGGCCACTTGCTTCTGACTAATACTGGAAGAATAATATTATGTTGAGTTACACGCTAATGCTCTTGAATAATGACACTCATACTGACAAAAACGACAGAATGCATCATATATTTTTTGTTGCAATCACAGTGTTACTGTCAGCGTGTGTGCGTGGGTATACATTGGTGTCTACCCCGCCGCACATGCTCAGACTAGGAGTCCCCCCTCCGCTCGTAGGCCCCTCCCAGACACGCGTGAGAGTGATCCGGAGCTCGGAGAACAGCCTCAGTTGCACGGGACCGCAAGAACGTCGCTGGATCCCGGGAGGACCGGAGAGAGAGAGACGCCACCGTGGGACTGGAGTTGTGCTCAGGTATTAGATTATTTCACAGGCAGCGAGGCCGTGCTGGTCTGTTACACGAGCGATGTGTGACATCAGACCGAATTTGACATGCAAGACTGTAATTATCCGAACAAACGAGATGAGCGCGCTGATTTATGTTGCTCGTCTTGCGTTTTAAGCGCGAGTGGTAAATCTTGCCACCTGACGGGACGCGTGCAGAGGCGATAAAATAATATTCCGATTTCGTTAGATGGAGATTCGTAGCATAAATGGTCATATATTTAAAGCTAGTGTGGGAACTGGAAGCCTACTGCATCTTATCGGTGCATTCGGGCAAAGTACAAGTAGAGTCCAATTGTTCTTGAACACGAAAGGAAATCACTTTACGTCGTATGTCGTTAATTAGTTGTCCCCACGCCTTGCGGTCCCTATTAAGATAAGTTTGACCACCGGGCTGACAGGAGTGGGCAGTCCCTCAGTCCTTAACGGGAACCTTACTAACGTGCTTTAACCTAGAACAGTTAATGCAACAATCATCTGATGACATGTTTATGTTTGCATGGTGAAACCTTATGGTGTAATGCCGTCAGTTTTGGGTAGTAATGTAATCTGGTTGACCTAATCAGATTAAGCATTTGTAATAGACTACATTACATTTTAAAATATATTTTATGAATTAGCTACAGTTATGACGGTTTTGATTACTAATCTATTAATTAGTTTGTTAAATAATTAATTGATATCTCTAAGGGAGACCCAGTATATCACTATATAAAGCAATTTATGTTTTCCAAGAAATATACCCCCAAATTATACATAAATTAATTAATTCCCCAACAGCTGGTAGCTGTGTTTCAGAACATGCTACCTGTGGTATCTAGCTAGTCTAAGATTATTATTAGCTGGTCAGGTGGTTGACAAGACACCATGTTCTAAAAACAGCTTGACCACCTTAAACTGATCAATTGGTAGCTGGTTTGTTGCTAATCCAAGTTGCTTTACCAGAATGAAAATCAGGCTGGAAACCAGCTACCTTAAGATTGATTTTACAGGGGAGCTAGTAAACTTGATTTTACTACTCTGTCGAGTTCATTAGCTTGTCTAAGTTGGTCTAAACTGGTCAATAGTTGATTGACTAGTCCTTGACTGCGTACCTGAAACTGGTATGAGCAACTGGTAGGTGGTTTATTTATTTATAAGTTGGTTTACCAGCTAATGACCATCTCTGACTGGCTAGAAACCAGCTACCATCTTAAGATTGATTTTCCAGTAAACTTGACTAGTTTACTACTCTAACTAGTTCACTAGTTCTGTTGTAGCTGGTCTAAGACGGTCTTTAGCTTGTTGACCAGTCAGCATGTTCTAAAAGCCAGCTTGACCATCTTAAACTGGTGTGACCAGTTGGTAGCTGGAGTGTTTACCAGCTAATGACCATTTGAATTCAATTAGTTAGATGGCTTACCAGCTAATGATGATCTTAGACTGGATAGAAACCAGCTACCATGTCTCAAAATAAAGCTACCATCTAAAGCTTGATTCTCCATCATGGCTAAAGGACTTTGCTAATCTAACCAGTTCTATTCTTAGCTTATTAGCTGGATGACCAGCCACCATGTTTCATAAACCAGCTTGACCACCATAAATGTGATGACTAACTAGTAGCTGATTTGTTAGTGGTCCAAGTTTGTTTACCATCTAATGGGGATCATCTTAGACTAACTAGAATCCAGCCACCATCTTCTAGCACGACTAGTAAACATTATCAATTTACTAATCAAACTAGTTCACAATTGTTTATTGAAATGAGTGTTAATTAGTACAAATTAGTAATTGAGTTTTTATCAAAAGTTGCAATAAGTGATATACCGGTAATAATAGGTTCATGATGATATTGTTTAATGAAGATGTTGCTCTTTGCTTTTTGTGTATATTTTTGTCGAAATAGTTCGAAATTATTCTTTGTAACACTAAAGAAAAGAAAGTGTTGAGATTACATTACCTGAAGTGTAATATAAAATATTATGTTATTGAGAACCATTGTAGTCATGCAATTTGTAGACTGAATTTCAGCAGTAACCCATCCAACACTGACTGCAGTACATTTTAAATTTAGCATATTTTGTAACAGTGATGGACTCAGCAGTGCATGTTTTGAGTGTTCGTTGTAAGTCGTGGAGTGTGAGGGGTAATTCTAGGCATACCGTATGGTTTGTGTGATGACTTACTACATGTATTCATGAGGTGGCTGCAGTGACACAGCTGGGATACCCTGAAATGGTGATTGTCAGAAAGGGGAGTTTTTTTTTTTTTTATCAAGTTCTTTGGTGCACTGTCTCTCTGCCTGCTTCCTCTCTAGCACTCTCTCTCTTTTTTTGCCATCTACTCTACCCCTCCTTCTACTACCACAGTAGGAGTTTCTGTATGTGGGATTCATCAATCCGTGGGATTCATACAGTGCATTTTCTTCAGGAACTCAATTTTCTGGGTCTCACTCTGTTTTTTCACATTAAGCGTAATGCTTAATAGAGCTGAGAACCACATAAACCACATCATTCCACTACCGCGCTTGTAAACTTTCATGAGCTAGCAGTGCATAAGTTGGGTGTGAGAGAGAGTCAAAAGGCCAATATCTGTCTGTCTACTGGCACATTACATCTGTCATTAGGCTTAAGGCATTGCACATTCATGAAGCCTTATGAACAGATGCATATGGTAATCACATAATATTCTTGCTGCTTCGATCCCTCTGTTCTACTCTTTGGTTCCCTGACGTGTGAATTCCACTTGCAAGCCTCAGCACTTCCTACCTGCTTCCTCCCGTCAGGAGGTAGAGGAGAGACCGTTTGCCTGTGTGGTGGTCTCACTGATGTCACGAATCAGTCACGAGTTGAGGCCAGGCACCATCTGCCGTGCTGGCTGTCCAACTGCAGTGTTTTCATTTCCCCAGGTGCTCCAGTCAAGTGTACTGCACAATCAACTTAACCGAGTTTCCAGTACCAAACCAGTCCCTAGTACAAACACATTCTCTCTGTTTTAAAAAAAGTGAGATGCAATAAAGCAAGGAAAATTACAGGTTTCCGTACAAGTTAAGCTAAATCAAATGTATTTGTGGAGTAATGTTGATTACCACAAAAATTGATTTCTGCTTTTCTTGGGGAAAAACAAACAAATAAACAAACGAAAACCTGGTTTAAAATGAGGTATACTTACAATGAAAGTGAATGAGGCCAAATTGTGAACTTTAAAATCCTCACTATAGCCTTGATTTGTAATTAAAACACCTGTAAAAATTATAATTTAAACCGCTTTACAGCTCCAAAAATATGTTTTAACAGAATAATTAATATAAGTACTGTTATGTAATTATACATTTCACATTTCTGCTTTTAAATCCTCCAAAATTTGTCCCAGTTCACTTTTATAGGTAAGTTGCTCACAATAACAGAATTTAGCTTTTCTTTAAAAAAACAAAACAAAAAAAACGTACTTTTTTGTGGTAATCAGTGTTTTTTAGTATTATTTATGTAGTATGTAACTTGTTCTGTTTTTAGTTAGTTTCCAAAGCAACGTTTTTTTTTTGTTGTTTTTTTTTTAAGTTTGTTTTCATCTAATATTTATTTATTTTTTATTTTATTTTAGATCTATTTTAATAAAGAGAACAATTTTTAATTGTTTAAATTTTGGTTAACAATAACCACACTGTTGGTAATCAACATTGTCACAAATGCTGTCAAGCTTACGTTACTTATATCCAACCCAGAATATTATAACATGCATGCATAATATAATGTTGTTATTAGAATCGCCAATAAATTAGATCATCAAGATGAGGAAGAAGCTTCATCCCACATTTGATAGCTTGATATTGCTTGATCATATAATGATGAAGCTGTTATTATCTAAGACTCCAGTCTTTACATTTTCACTGCAGAGCTGGCTGTAGAATGACATAAGCTAGAGTTTTCTGTCATTAGTGCAGAGAGAATGGACAGAAAGCTGAAGACATAATTAATCTTCCTGAAGGTCTGGGAGTGGAGATGAATAATTCACCGCAGCTCGGCTCGCTCAGCTCTCGAAACTAGCCTCTGAGAGAGCTGTGACTGACAGATTGCCCATGCATTTCAGAAAACACATCGGAAATGTGCGGAGAAATGGACAGAAAGATCCTTTTCTGTAGATCTGGACAGATAGGGCGTGTTGGAAGTGGCGTCTCTGGATAAGATGTTCTCAAGTTTCGCTCATCTGAACTACTTTCAAACTCTTGAATAGCTCTTATAGACTCATTCGGTCAAAAAAAGGTATTCCCCAGTCAGTGGAAGAGGGGTGCTAAACCGACACACTCATCCCAGTAGGCAACGCTTTTACACTATCAGTCACTGAGATGAATACAACTCTGTAATGATACGTTCCAGTTCAACCTGGATTTGAAGCAAAGTGTCCCAGCACCGCTGAGTCTGCAGGTACAGTTCCTGCCGCTGACTTCATCTCCTCCTGCCAGGCAGAGTAAATGTGTGCTGTAGATTATCAGTACTAGAGGGACTGGTTCCTTCCGATATCTAAAAGAAAACCGTTGTATTGTGATCGTATATCTTTTCTTTGTCTATTCTAATTGCGTTTTTAGACTCTCTGTCTCATGGAGTCTGGCCAGGTGCACACTTTTGACTTTGTTTGGTCCACGTTGCAGCTTACTCTGACCTGGAAATGCCCACTTAGACAGGAAAAACAACATCTGACCAATATGCAAAGTGAGCTAGAGTTTTATTTTATTTGCCATTTAGGGTATACATTAATGTCCAAAAAGTTCAAAGATGTTTTTTTTTTTTTTTTTAAATATACTCACAAAGGCTGCAATTTGATAAAAAAATGCAGGAAAAACAATAATATTGTGAAAATAATTGTTTTCTGTTTTAATATAGTAAAAATGTAATGTATTCCTGTGATGGCAGTGTCACATGATCCTTCCTTCAGAATTCATTCTAATATACTGATTTAGTGAGAAATTTAATAATAGTAACAAACCGAAAATGAATTCAAATAATGTCACTGCACTTAACTTGCACTACAAATTGCTGGGTAGTAACTGATTACATGTAATCTAGATTACATAACCAGATTCCAAAAATAAAGTATTTTTAATAAGAGTACATTACATTTTAAAATGCTCGTAATCAGATTACTGTTACTTTTTATGGATTACATGATTACATATTCACACAATGGCAGTAAATTAATCATAATTTATTGATTCTCCCTAATTCTTATTCTTTTCTCTCTCTCGTAAATTTTTAAATGTCAGTTGTTTTCATATTTATGTTTTCTTTCTTTTTCTTTTCATAAAATGCAGGAATACCTAAAAAATTGTCAGACAAACTCCTTAAAATAAAATATTTACCTGAAATATCTCTGAGCAAGTTAATATTTCAATAATTTAACAGCATATTTGCATGTTTACAATTAACTGATATCTCAGATTGTCTCTTGAAGCATGTTGGAGACGTTGCTACAGTTCTTCTGGATTTAGTCTGTCTCAGTTTGTTCTGTTTCTTCATGTCGTTCCAGACAGACTGGATGATGATCAGATCAGATCTCTGTGTGGAGCACTGGCTGCTGTCAGACAAAAATCTGTGATAATCCAATAATTGGATTATTACAATTAATGATAAAATTAATGTTTTGAAATGTAAACTGATATTTCCTACTGACACACTACAGCAAAAGATAGAAATAACTGACTTAAAACCATTTTTAGCTGTGTTCTAATCATTTTGGCCACCACTGTAAATAAATAAATACTATATATATATATACAGGTGCATCTCAATAAATTAGAATGTCGTGGAAAAGTTCATTTTTTGAGATAGTAAAGCTTAGCCACTAAGTACCCCAAACAAAAGATTTGATGCTGCTAACCTGTCAAAGATTTCCAACTGATAAAACCTGTGCTCCCACACTTCCAGAAACTGCATACAGCCACTCATTTTAGAACTGGTGGTAATTTCACTCCATTTTTATGAGCAATATGCTTGAAACAGATAATGAGCGAACACAAAGTTAGAAAGTTATGCACGCACACACACACAAATGTTCCTGTTGAAGGAGCTGATGAGATTTTTACCTGAGCTGACAGGAGCAAGAGTGCCTTGTGCTGTGTCTGCACTGCATCTGTCTCACATTGCCAAATCTCTCTCTCTCTCTCTCTCTCTCTCTCTCTCTCGTGTTGTCCCTCTGTAGGCTGAAAGATGTTCTCCTTTGTGAAGGCCTTTGAGGGGCAGCATTACTCCACCCTCAAGAGGCAGTGTCTACAGAGTGGACGTCTGTTTGAGGACCCACTGTTCCCGGCCGTGGATGACTCCCTCTTCTACCAGGGTAACAGGATCGGCCTTGTGCACTGGAAAAGACCCGCGGTCAGTGCTCAGAACTAAAGTCTCACGGTTCTTCATTTAACAGATGGCATAGAGAATGGGATATGCAGGTGGCCTGCATTGCTTGTGGTTCCCAGGAGGTTCTTAAACAGATTCCAGGTTGGAAAGATTTTGCTTTGTTCAAACAGAACCTTAAATAATATGTTCAGTTTCTTTTAATGTTAATCTATTTACATTTCAAGTTAAATCAGTTGTGTTTGTAAAGCGCTTTTCACAATACATTTTGTTTCACAGCAGCTTTACAGAAAATCATGATGTTAATGTTTAGAATATTTTAATATCTTCATCAAGGATGCATTAAACTGATCAAAAGTGACAGTAAAGACATTTATAATGTTGAAAAAGGTTTCAAATAAATGCTGTTCTTTTGAACTTTCTGTTCATCGAAGAATGCTGAAAAACAAATGTATTACACAAATATAAATTTGTAACATTGATAATGACAAGAAATGATTTTTGAGCAGCAAAATCAGCATATCAGAATGATTTCTGAAGGATCATGTGACTGAAGACAGGAGTAATGATGCTGAAAATTCAGCTTTGACATCACAGGAATAAATTACATTTTAAATATTATAAAGTAGAAAACAGTTATTTAAAAATATTTCATAATATTACTGTTTTTATTACTATATTTTGATCAAATAAATGCAACCTTGGTGAACATAAAAGGCTTCATTTAAAAACATTAAACAATCTTACCAACCCCAAACGTTTGAACTGTAGTATACCGGTACTATATGGAAGACAAAAAAGTTGAGAAATGTTAGTTAGTACTGCTTAAACATTGCTTAAATGACTAATCATTTCGGTAACACTTTAGTATAGGGACCAATTCACACTATTAACTAGTTGCTTATTAGCATATATTGTTAAAGGGGTCATATGGTGTTGCTAAAAAGAACATTATTTGGTGTATTTGGTGTAATGAAATGT